CAGAGCTGGAACAAAATACCATGTGACGTTACACAACGGGCTTATGGAAATGAGGCTGCATTCCCCGACGGCCCTCCGTGGAGAAGTCTGTGCCATTCCTTAATATGGTGACAGTCAGTTTGAAAGGCCACTTCTTTGATGCACCATAAAGAGCAAGAGCATGAGACAAGCTAGTTTAGCACCATTTATTAAGTGATCTCAGCTGTTGTTGTAGCTGCTGCGTGTCAGCCTGTTCTTAAACATAAAATGCTCTTCCAATTCCTCTTGTCCAGGACAGAAGGATCTTCCAGGTAGCACGCCAACAGAACAAGAGGCTCCGATGATGCCAGCTTCAATGATGGTGCCATCCAGAGAGGGAGAGGGTCATGGCACATTCAACCGCGGCTTCCAGAGGTTTTGAAAAAGGAGCCTTTGGGGGCCCAGCCTGCCTGGCATTCTAGTGGAAGTGCAAAAGGTTGGCACATTGGGAGAGAAAGAGAGGGAGACGCGAGGGAAAAGTAGCATCTGGGTATCAAGGAGGGTTTTCTGGTCCCTGTAGCTGCAGGGCTGGAGTACTAGGCAGACCTCTGGATAAAGCAGCAAGCAACAGACTAAGGCAAAAAGCCCACAGGCTCTCCTAGACTCTGCAAGGACTTGTACACGTTTCTACAAAAGTTAGGAAGAACTGCTTCAGAGTATTAGAGAGGGAGAACAGTGCAGAGGGGAGAGTTGAAAAATACCCCTTTCCCTTTCCTATCCGGGTGAAAAGGTTGCTTATCGGGGGCCTGGGGGAAGGGGAAATCTGGAAACCTTGAACATGAGAGTCCCAGAAAAAGTAGGTGTGGATCTCTCCAGCCTGGACTGAGTCCAGCTGGAGGGCAGAAACTACTTGTACTCCAGAGCAAAGAATAGGGAAAATCTGCCTAGAGAAAAACAATGCTGACCCATGACTGCCAAGGCAAGCAACCAGGGCCATGGCTGCCTAGTAACTTGGTGGCTATGATGAGTCAGACCCAGCCACTGGATGCAGACCACCTCCAATGGCAGCATTCCCAGTTAAAATCTGACCCTCAGCTAATTTAAGCCAGTTCCACCCAAACATCATCTGTAAATGCAAGGGAAAAAGATCCCCAAATGGCCTGCCTGCTGAACACCATCACTGGGCTCGTTACTGGTAATGCCTTTGATAAGAACAGCATGATGATGATACCATCACTAATGATGATGAGAGTAGTAACAGCACTTGGCCCTGAAAGCACTCTCCATCTGAGGACCTTCATTAAAGACTAAATCAGCCTCCCAACAACCCTGTTAGGTAAAGCACTATTATCCCCCATTTTACAGACGGGGAAACCAAAGCAGAGTGGCAAAGAGACTTGCCAAAGATACACACTGATACTAAAGTTCAAGGAGAGAACTGCACCTCTAAGTCCTGACTCCTGGCTGGCTGGCTCTCTCTCCAGTTGTGAGACATCTAACAGCCGCTCCCCACAACATCTTCATAATAACCTGAATTTACGTGTGACACTGAATCACTGGAGGAGCAGGCCTAACCACCGACTCTCATTTGTGGATGCCTAGCTCCACTTCCCTGAGTCTCAGGTAGATGGCAGGGCTGCTTTCCCCTTTGGCATTCGTGCGCCCCTTAGAGTCTACTCTCACAAACACACTATTCTGCCTCCTCCACAATTTCAGCTCTACACACAAGAAATGCAGCCATTATTCCTGATAAGAAGTCAATTTCCCAGGACAAAGAAAACAGACTGAAGCTACTAGGTTAAAAAGACATGCAGAAGTGGGGTGAGGGGCAGACAGGCAGGACTTTACTGTTCAGTGAAATTATCTTAAAAGAACTGCGAGAAAAAGAAAAGCACTTCGTCTTTCATTTTAAGACAGTGGTTAGCAAATGAAAGACAAGACAGCCTGTGTCAATAAGCAAGCCCAGGCAGTGCAACTGGGGTTCTGCAGGAGGGCTCTCTCTCAAACACAGCGCCCCACAGTGGAGGTGGGCAGGGACCCTCACCAGCGAAGAACCGCTGCAAGTAGCCAGAAGCACTAGAGGGGAAGACTGGTCTGTCCCTTCTCCTTAAGTCAGTCTCCTGTACGACCATATGTCTCTGGGCCCAACTAAGGACCTACTTCTGCTAAACTTAGGGACATGCTCCCCCAAGCCCCCACAACACGTACTTGATGCTGTCGGTGTGGGTTTTGTATTCCATAATGGTGTTGGGAGGTAGGTTAAGCACTCGCCGAAGTGTGTCCCGGATGCGGGCTGTGGTTGCTTGGTCGCTGGCAGTCTTATTCCATATTGAAATAATGTCCTCCTACAGGAGGAACAACAGAAGGAATCATCAGAGCAAACCAGAAGCAGTGAGAATAGCAAAGGCAACCCCTGAAAGCAGACCTGCCCACGGGGTGGCTTACCTGAAACCGGACAGAGACCACAGCCCCACAGATCTCCTCCCCAACCATGAATTGTTCCCCCAACATGGCCAGGATGAGATTCTCCCAGCAACGGGATGCCAAGCCCTTCCGCAGCCGAATAATCCACTTGCCACCATTTTTATTTGCATCATCCTGTAAAAAGAAAAGTGTTAAAAGTTAAGATATGGTTTCAAAGCTCTTTTTCTTTTGCATTCAGGCAGTAAAAAGCCAAGGATCCTTTGATGCTAAGAAATCTTGTTGCCTTCCAATTATTCAACTCTACAGGAAAAATGGTGGTAGGACTAGAGAGAGAGGAAACAAGAAAAAAGAAAAACAAGGTGGGGATCCTTAGTACAAGTCACTAACAAAAAATGGCCAAACAGAACCTTTAAAAATAATCCTCTTTTCTCAGAACTACATCAAAATGAAATGTCAGATTTCAAACACAAATCATTCCTCACCTGATCTGCTAAAAAGTTTATCAAATATCACCATGTCCCAAATACAGATATGAAGCCACAGTCTCTACCCAGATCCAGTCTAGTGAAGGAGACAGACAAGAAAATTAATGACAACAGCAGTCTGACAAGTACTGCTGCAACAGAGACTTGCACAGTAAGTTCAAGAAGGACAAGACTGTAAGAAACACTCAAGAAGAGGAAAACATTTAAGCTGGGTCTGGAGGGACACAGGAGTTAGCCAGGGAAAGCAGGGGAAGGGCCCTGCAGGCATTGGGAAGAACATGCCTGTGCACAAACTGACTGTGAGCCAAGGAGATGCAGAGAGGAGTATCTAGCTACACAGAAGGATAGATTTATTTAGGGATAATGAGTGACAAGGCCTGAAAGGTAAATTAGGTACAAGATCAAGTGTGCAACAGAGAGCTGCAGAAGATTTTTAATTGGGGGGTATGTGCGACCATATTTGTCTTCTAGAAAAATGCTCTGGCATCAAAATAGAGAAGATGGATTACTGCAAAGAGATCATGGAGCTCAGGTCTGAGTCTCCAATTACTGCCTGTAAGCTTATTTTTACAAACTTTAATCATATGTATACATAGCAACATACTATACACACACACAACCAGTTCTATAGGAAGAATGGTAATTTTTTTTCAAGCCTTTAATGTTGTTAAAGTGACTTCAGTGACTAAACAATCTTCGAAAACCATCCACACAAACAATGGCATCAGTGCCCTTTCCTAGAGGTCCTGGTTCCAAGGACGTACCAAATAGTGATGTAGCTTTCAGAGATTTTAAAATACTTTTAAACTTGACGTGGCTGGGAAAAAAAAAACAACAGCCCCACCCAGTAACGACAAAAAACCCAGGCTGATTAGAAAAGCAGTCTGAGGCCTTTAGTTCTCACCTCCCACATGGGTTTAATTCCTTCTTTGAAGAGATGGAAGTCACTGTGGCCTGTCAGGTCCCCAGGACGTACCATGTGGCTGTAAAACCTCCAGAACTGCTCCACCTGCAGAGAGAAGATACCAGAGTGAAACAGATGTTTTTCCTCTTCTTTGAATGAATGTGAGGATTATTTAAGAAAAGAGCATAAACATGAAAGACACTCTACTAGAAACACTACTTTTTGGAGGGTAGATTTTCATCCGGGGCATTGTGTGGGAAGGAAGGCATGTTAGAGGAAAGCAAATTGTATATTTTGATAAAAGAATCATGTAATACTGTTGATACAGGAGTAAACTCTTTAGGTGAGAAACACTATCCTCAGCTAGGAGCCCTAGCTGGTGAACGTCAATACAAACCCTCCCGCGGAAGCTGCAGGGCAGTCGCCACACACTGTGAGAGGACCTTGTTTTACACAATAAAAACCATTTAGTCTTGAGGTATATTAAGTGCTACACAACCTCAGCCTGAATGTATTTTTTTTAGAACAAAATCACTTAAGAAAATACAGTATTATTAACTACGTTAATTAACCAGTCACTCTGCCCATGACTTATTCATAACTGCAAGTCTGATCACTTCTTGATTAAAGATGTTTACTAACAAATACAGCAGTAGCTACAATGAAATACATTTTATTTTATTTAGCTACTGAGCACTAAGTGACAGAATCAGGCACATGCTCTACTCTATACCAGGGTGCCCTTGCTAAGGCCAGGACAGTCCAAAACCAAGCAGGACATGGCTTCTCTCACTTAGGGTTTAAGTCCCTCTTCTTGGCTAGAAATTTTGTTTCTCTTAGCTCCTTCTTCACAGTCCTGTTAGAAAATTAGATATTTCTCTATTCTACACATATTTCTCTACCAAATGTATTCTTATTTATAGTCATCATGTTGTTCCTGTTTCTCTCACTAGTAACTTGACAGGAGAGATTACATCCCTATTCTCTGCAGTTCACAGAGAACACCTACAAAGTACTGGCCAGTGAAGAGGCACACTTTAAGAAGAAAAAGAAAATGTGGAACAGCCTAAAGAAACAGTTGGTATTTGCCAACACCCTGCTGAGGGGGCTCTAAATAAATACACAGCAAGATTCTACAACGTGCACCTCAAAATGGGAACTGAGTAGATACTCCTAGATCTGGACAGACCTCACACTGTATGAAATGGCTGTCCTTTTCTTTCCTCTAGAGAACAGAAACATGGAAAATGTCTCATGTTACAAAGTCAGGAATGAACACCACTCCTAGGACTTCAGTGCAGTGTTTCATCTCAGCAATAGCTATGCTTAATTGTACATGGAGATTCAGAACAGTGACTGGTCATGTGCACATGGCGAGCAACAATCTTTCCCCACCCTAACATAGTGGAAAGAAATGAAGTGCGTCTACTAGAAGCTGTGGCTTGTGAATCAGGACTTGAGGTGGGTGGCAGGGACAAAGTACATCAATCATCACCAACCCCCTAATCAAGCATTGCTTTATTAACAGTTTGATCTCTACCAATCTTTGAGCCATCCCATACATTCTTAGAGCCAGAATCTCATATCCAAACGACAAGAGAGATGAAGCAATAAGTAGCTTGAGAAATATTATTAAACTTTGATTTTTTTACCCCTTCTCTCTAGGCAATTTTCATTTTTGAAACTCCCAACTGAAACCAAAAGGTGAAAGAAATATTTAGACTCAGAATACAAGATGTAGAAAAGACCTCAGAAATCATCTCAACTACCTTCTTCATTTTCAAATTGAGAAAACAGTTTCAGAACTTGCCCTGGGCCACAAAGTCAAGCACCAGAATGGATGAGACAGACCTGTGATCCCCAAGTCCAATGCCCTTTCCACTTCAAGACATGGCCTTCTTAGTCACTTTTCAAGAACTTTGAAATGTCAAATACTAGGATTGAGCACCACTGGGAAATACTGCTTTGGCATTAATGAAGGGTTTCACAATGTAATTATCTCCGTGTGAGGAATTTAATATTGTGAGACATTTCCTAATGCCCCGAATTACATGACAGCGGTGAGTACTGAAGCAGCATTATCCCAAGATGATGCTGATGACAAACTGTTCAACTCAACATAAAGGCCCAAAGAAAACAAAAACTTTCCTTGCACAAGTTGGGTAAATTCATGCATGCTTTTCTTAAGAGGAAAAGAAAATGCTAGAAATATTTATAATCATCCCAAAATAACTGAACAAATCCTGAATGAAAACTTACTCCCCAGTTCAGCTCCTTCTTTGATTCTGAGTGCCTAACCAGCTGCTCATAACATAATGGCTGTCCTTTTACCTGCAACGTCTAGCCAGTAACCAAAATTTTTGTGGATTCAGGAATGTTAAGACTTCATGGATATTTTTTTAAAGTTTAATTCTACTGTTCTCTCTGCCAAGAATTCCTTCCTCTTCTTAGCACCTGTTTAAATTCTTTTAATTCAATCTTCAACCCATCTCCTCTCAAAGAGGCTTTCTCCAAGTTGAAATTAATTCCTTTCCTCTGAACTCCAAGATCACTCTAGCCATGCCTTCCTTATATAGCACCATCCATTGCCCCTCTGTGTTAGAAATTCCTGGGCAGGTCTTATTTCCCCAAGGGCAAGGTTTTAATTCATTTTGGAACCCTATTAGTTCCTTGAATTCATTCAACAAACATTGCTTGAATCAAGTATGTACCAGTGCACAGGCTATTTTGAATAATTCAAAAAAGCCTACATTTACCAGTGATAAGGGAGCACAGGCCAACTAAAACAAAATCTTTGCTTTTTGCTGAAACTTAATCAACTCAGCACAGTAATCAGATAATCTGATTACCAGTTATATTTGTATATTTAATTAATAAACAAACAGATGTATAAATAGAGCTTGTCTAGTAAACAAACATTTAAAAAAACTGGAGCCTCTTGGAATGCATTTTAGCATATGAAAGTGTGACAGAACACGGGCTTTGGAAGGTGTTTTTTTTACAGCCTACCCAACCTGAGTTTCAATACTAGTTCTTCTACTTAATCAAGTAAATTGCAACTTACTTGAGACTTCAGATCAGATACTTAGCCCAAATCTCATTCACCTCATTTGTAAATACAAATAGTATCACTGACTTGATAGAGCCATCATAACAACTGAAGTGAATTACATAAAGTGTCTATTACTGTGTCCTTCCTCTTTATTAATTTATTGTAAAATTTACTGTCTATTATAGTTTCCTTTTCCAGTGTCTGCATTTTAAACAGGACAAACACCTCAATAATTTCAAGAAAAAAACAAATCCTGCATTTGATTCTGCCCAGAGATTGACTGGACAGCATACAGGAAGTACACAGTCACCTTTACTGAACGAGACTGACTTTAGTTGCACACAGCTTTTCAGAGTACACAAACCAGCTACCTGTGAGGGAGATAAGAGTGTGGGCTCTCTATACTGACAGTACCCACAAAAAAAGTTAGAGATTTTGTTTCTTTCTGAACATAGAAAAAAAGATGCTACTTTATGCATAATCACTAACATATCCAAAACCCTAATAGGAGGTTATTAAACAAAAACTTTAGAATTTTACTCTGACTTTACTGCCAAGCTTCATGAGAACAGACATCATGCACTATAAAATTCTGTATCTCCCATGACACTTTGAGCATAGTAAGAACTAAATAAGTATCTACTTAAACAAATCTGTGTTTTTATATCATCCCCTTCTGATCAATTCCACAATTCACACACTTGTTGATATCAACATATATTGCGTACAGATGTGTAATGAGAAATCTAAGAATGAAGCAATTTGACTTCAGAGACTTCAGTCAGTCAACTAAGGAAACCAGTATCCTAAGTAGGTTACCAAAAGGGTAAATAAACACAGTGATGTAAATATAGGCATGAATGTACAATCACGGCTCACACTACATTAAGCCACTAAATACTCACAGAGGCAAAGGTGCCAATCTGTTTGATATTCTGTTCGTAGCTCTGTGAGCTGGTGGGACGGCCGGGGGTTCTCCTGGAATACCAGAAAGTGTAGTTATACTGCAGGGGGTGCTCTGCTGGCCCAGGGACAACAGCCTGTGAATTAAAGAAGGTGGGTTAACCTGGGCATTTTTCACATGCTCTGAGACTGAGAAAACATTTTACACTGTCACCACTCACAACCTCCACAATTAAAAAGGATGCATCCTCAATTACTGCAATGTGCTCAAGATTCTGCTTACATCGTGTATTTCTTTAGTGGTTAACTGACTGCAAGTTCCTGTAACATTTTCTCTGTGTTCTCAAAGCTTTTGTAACTTTCTACTTCCTACCATAGGTATTTATTTTTGTATCTTAGCATATTCCCAGGCCAAGTTCGGCCTCCTCTATGGCACTCTCATCACTGGCCAAGTGACCTTGGGCAAGCTGCTTAACCTGTTTGTGCCTCAGCTGCTTATCTGCAAAATGGGGGAAATAATAATAACCACCCTCATGGGGTTGCTGAGAGGATCAAATTAATTAATAGCTGTAAAGTGCTCACATGGTGTCTGGCACACAGTAAGTGCTCAATAAAAGACAGCTACTAGTATTACTGGCACTGTAAGCGCCTTGATCCATGGTCTTATCCAGCTTTGAGTCCTCTTAGCACACAAAACGCTTACATTTGGAAAGTACTTGATATTGTGGGGCAAATGAATTAATGATTGCTTTAATATTTCAAGAAAGAAATTGACCCATCTATATCAGATTCTCTAATTTTTTTCTTTTCCAAGTCACTTTCAGCTCAGAGTAGTACTTAGTCTTCTAAGTGATGTGCAGGACTTGAAATACTGAGCAGCAGCTTATGAAGCAGCTAACAGCCTTAAACTCCAGGGTTAATCTCCATTACTTCAAGCTTGGAGAATACCAGAGAGTGAGGCAGCATCTCAAGATCATGTTTCAAGGGAAATGTTCTAAGTCCCAAAATGAACTTCAGTGATTCAATAATCTTTTCTGAGAACAAATCATATATTACAAAACAGAGTGCTATTAAGTTAATCTGGCATCTTCCAGATAAACAGATTTCACAAGATAACCAAGTCTCAAGTCCAAAAGCAACTACGTCTCTACAGCACAAAACTCACCTTCCTTTTGCTGCTGCTCTGACTCTTGTCGCGTTCCGTTTTTTCCTTCTCACCATCTTTCTGTGTGCTGTTTTCTTCATTCTGATCATGGTCCCCACTGTCATCATCTTTCAATCTAAATGAGAAGGCAAAACAATGTTATCCCATGACTGAGCTGATTCTTGCTTATCTAACAAAGCCACCAGGTCAAATGAACTACCATGGAACCAACCTGAAGTCACTTAAGATACAGGCAATGGGATGCACATGAGACAGGACAAGGGAATGCAGAAAGGCAACTAGGAGTCAACAAAAACGAAATGCTTATCAGCTAACCTGTAAATTCCAGAAAGCACAGTCTTCTAGTTTTCTAAAAGGCTGCACAAAGAAGCTGAGGTACTGTGGTAGAGTGCATGCTTAGCATGCACAAGGTCCTGGGTCCAATCCCCAGTACCTCTATCAAAAATAAATAAATAAATAAACCTAATAGCCACCCTCTACCCCAAAAGAAGCAAGAGGGTAAACAGTGTAAGAGATTGCTTTACCAAAAATAGTCAACAATGAAAAAATTTTCTGGATTAAATAACCACTCTGGCATTTCAAAATGAAGTTTAAAAAGTTTCTTGCCACTTCTAATCATCTTTCCTACCCTTCCCCACTGCTACTGCTTTAGTTTGGACCCTCCTCTCCTGTCATCTCAATTACATTACAATAAATTCCTATCCAGTCTCCCTGACACAAATCATCTCCAGGCTCTGTTGTCCTCCACATTGCCACCAGCTCTATCTTACTAAATGCAAATCTAATCTTTTAACTCCCCTGCTTAAACCTCTCAACTGTCCCTTGCCCTTTGATGTCCGCCATGAAGGATAAAGTACAATGCAATGTAAGATTCTCTAGAATCTGACTCCGGTCAATCTGGCATCCTCTTTGCTCCCTCAACCTCCCAAAGCAACCTACAGTTCCACATCTGTGCTATCTGCAAAGTTGCCCCTCAGTCCAAGGCACCATTCCTCCCATATCTATCTTTCTTTCTAGATGGAGGGGGCTCTTAGAACACTGTTATTAATCTTTGCATCTTCAGCACGTAGGACAAGAAGATGCTGCCCTAACATGTAGCACAAGTAGATGCTGCATCAGTGTTAAACAAAAAGAAAAGAAAGAAAAGGAAGGAATGCTTTCTTGCCTTTTTAATACAGTCAAATGTACTTTATGTGCCAAGCTTTTAGGAGCAGTGAAACCACTCTAAGTGTTGTATATTGGTTTGCTATGATTTCAAATCCACTTATGACTTATATGAAGATAATTTAATACACTTGTTTATGACAAAGACCAAAAAGAAGCTGCTTTTAGAAGTAAAACTGTTTTGCTATAGAATGAAATGTGTCAGGACGTCACCTCGTCTGCTGCCTCTGACAGGCGCTAGCAGCTCAGCTGCAGAGTGGTCCCCCTGGGAGCTCATCATCAATAAAAACAGACAAAGAAGGAACTATGGTGAGGGGACAGACTACAAACACAGAGGGTTTGTGAGGAATATCCAAGTTTCTGTCCGGGTAAAGCCACCCTTGGCTGATCTTGCTCTCTGAATATCTTGGGACACTTGCTCCTCCAGCAGTGGCCAAGGCGACTCTTTGGTTGGAACTGGTGTTAAACCATGCAGCAGTCTCAGGAAGAGAAGGGACATTAGCTCC